GTCTTTCTTTGGCCATGAGTGATTGTCGCAGAGAAATTGAGATATTTGAGTAATTAAATGAGAAGTGGGGGAGATAAGGTAATCTATCCAATCATATTAGATTGGTGATGTGGAAAATAATATAATAGGACGTGTATAAGCAATAATAATTGGAAAGATAATACGATGTCTATATGAGTTCAAGGATCACAATAGATTAAGAGTTCAAACCATCTATTTTACCAATCTATCTAAACTATTTTTACTTTAATTCACTTCCTTAGAAACAAACCGCATTTCCTTTTCCCATTTAAAAACTTTCGCAAATAGTTTGGTGCTGAAAATGTTCCCATTAACTGGAATGTGTCCTTAGTGGATCATAAATCCTGGAAAATAAATAGCATTTCCTTTGTTTTTTCACCCATCTAACTTCGACTTCCCGCCCACGTAGCCCATTAATTTCTTGTGCCATTTTAATTTCGCTTTCGTTTTGGTAGACGCTGCAAGGCCAAATGCAACAACATCTAAGGCTGCGTCTGGGGAAGCCCCGTGGAAATGAGTTCACCGAAATGGGTGGCAAAGTGGCGAGGAAAAACTGTTGCATTAAGAGGCAAGGCAGTCGCTACGTCATCGCTGTTGCTGCTGTGAAAATGAGCCAAGTTGGTAGTTAGTCAGCGTTCGCTTTTCCTCGCTGCTGGGCTCCGCTTGTTTCATTTCATTTATTTCATCTCGTTGCCGGCAGAGTTTCCACAGCTTTTCCTCCTCCTCTGGGTGGGGCTATAATTTCATTCGCCCATTAAAAATTTACTTTGCAACCCACTCGGCGAGGAGTTGTTGTTGTTGCTGCTGCTGCTCCCGATGGTGCTGCTGTTGGTGTTGCAGGTTGCCGGTTGCGGGTTGCTGGTTGCTGCTGTCGTCCTGCGTCGGCGTCGGCGTTCGTTAGTTTGTTTTTGGGGCCAAAGCCGCAAGAGAGCGCGGCCCACTTTTCTACACCCGCCAAATGAATGGCAGTGAACAAAGGCACGGAGAGAAATTAGGATATAAGTTTCATTAGAAATCTAAATAATTATCCCTTCTTCTTATTTCAGTATTTTTAAAGCATCCTCATACTAAATATCAGAAAGTTAAATTAACTTATGGTATATTATATTTTTATTTATATCAATTCTTTAAACTAGTTTAGAATATTAAGAAGAATGTGTGTTTTGGTATATACTTAGGATCGTTTTGTCGTCCTTAATTTAACTAATCTCTAAATTTTCCTATGTTAGTTTAACAGGAGGATGAGAAAACGGCCCTCAAAGTTGCCTTTAGGCTTAAAATAATATCGTAATAGCATAAAAAATAAAAAGAAAGAGAAAAGTGCAAGACAATTTTATTGTTCAACTTAATTAAACACATTCTTTTTAGGGTTCAAGTCATGATTTTTAATTTTGTATTAAACTAAGAAAAACCATTAACTTCAGGTTAATTATAACTTTATTTAAAGCCAATTTATATAGGTTACTCAATTAAGCAACGGAAGCTCTTAATTTGTACGTGATTTTTAAATTAACTGATTAATTGCAAGTCGATTTGACTTCCGAATTTTATCGCCGTGTGATAATGAGAGTTTTCCCAACTGAAGCGGACTGCGACGCCGACTGCGCTGCCTTTTCCCGGCTGCCTTGGTGTGAGGGAGCTGCGCTCATTTTCATTTTCATTTTCGTTGATGAGATAATGGTTTCGGTGTCTCTGTTTTTCCTCTCCCTGGAAAAGCGTGATGATGATGAAGCTGCCGGGAGTGAATTATTTTAAATGTGGGTTTCAAGGTCAAGGTGACGGCGGTTATTGTTTTGCTTTTCGCGCTGTCTGCGTCGCAGTCGCTTTTCTGCTGCGTTCATTAAGCGCTTTTCCTTGTGGTATTTTCTTTTTCTTGATTAGCATAATGAAGAGGTGAATGAACCGGCGGTGGTGAAGCAACTGGTGGTTGTTCTTGCTCCGCTTTTAATTATCATTTGTCTCTTTTCCAGTGTGAACTTTTCACTGATTTTTGCTCGTTGGCCTGAGGAAATGTATTGCCTACTTGGAGGCGCCATTTGCCGGGAAATTCTCCCAGGGCGCATTCGATAAAATTGCGAAAATTGCTGAGGGGCGAAAAGGGGCGAACGGGGAGTGGAAGCGTCGAACGTCGACGACGCACATCAAAATATGCAAATTGGAATTTCAAAAATACAGCAATATTGCTGAAGCCTTCAGCTTCCACTCCACATCTCCGGCGAAAATGCCCGAGCTGCCACCCCCTTTCTACGAGCACCCAACCACCCAGCCACCCCATCATCCCAGCGCCCAGGGCACATACTTTTGTATGTGTACACAGATATCTATCTCACAGTGGTCACTCGAAGGAAGAACATTCATAAGTTAAGGATCTACAACATTAACCTTAAACCACATTTTCAATTATATAATCATAAGTCAAGTTTCTTGGTTTTTCTTTATAAATGTAGGCTTGCAACTTCTTGAATCGAATAATACTCTTTGTTTTATAAATAAAGTTTATTAATATTTTATTTTTAAATGTGTGCTTACAACCTGTAAGATGTAATGATACAAAGAAGTTGTACTTAGATGAATTCAAATATGCTGAATGGTAAAAATAATAATGTTATTTGGGAACAAATTTTAAAAAGTCCATATAAAGCAAACCAGGAAAAGGTCGTATTTTTCGCTTGCCTTATAATTGTGTTATAATAATATACTTAAGTAAATTTTGAGTATTTTTACATAACCAACTCATACAAATTTTTAAGATTCTTATTTATTTTCTAAACGAAAAATAAATAAATAAAATTTTCAACAACTATATTAGTTTTTTATTTTTCAAACAATTTCTCGTGTTTGGTTTCCTCAGTATACACTGTACAAAGTTATCTATATAGTTAACCCGATTTTTGGGCGCATGCAAATTTCGTCGCCCTGCGGCAGCGACTTCGCTGCCAGCGTCGCTGCGAAGAAAGAGAAGAGAGAGCGAGACGGAAAGCGAGTAAGGGAGAGGGCCATAGTGGGTGGGTGGGAGTCAAGAGCCCGACTGCCATTATTCGCCTTTGGCCTTTCGTACGCTGCTTCTGTTTTCCGCAGCAGGGGAAAATTTTCAGCCCGACAGCGACGCCGGCAGCGAAGTCGGCGTTTTTCGACCAGTGCGCATGCGCGCTGCCACATGCCACTTTGCATCTCTCTCGCACTTACTTACAAGCCATTGCAACCCCCGAAAAGCAGCGCTGCTGCTGCGTTCCATTTCCCAAGCGTTCGCAGCGGAAAAGCGGTAGAATTCGTGGTGAGGGGAATGATTTGGCATTCGGCACGAGGAAATTAACGCCGGGTAATGAATGAAAATGAAAATGAGAAACAAAGACGGGCGAAAAATTACCCAAAATGAAGTTTTCCCGGCAGCGGAAAGTGCAGTGCAGCAACTGCGACGCGGGCAGAGGCAGGAGAGGCAGTCGGAAAAGCCGTAGGAAAAGCGGCAGCATACTTAATGACGTAATGCGGCGTCGGCGTCGCAGCCTCTGCTTCTGCCAGCAATTAAGCAACAGTTAAATTAAACGGGTTTCTAGTTCAAGGACACGACCCAGCGACGACGTGCCGGCACAACAACAACAAAAACGACAACGGGGGAAAATGGGTGAGTGGGTGGTGGGCTGCGTTGCTCGGTTTTTAATTGAGCTGAGGAAAGTCAGGGGAAGGGGTGCGAATTTTCGAGTTTATTTGTGGTTTCCTTTGGGAATTCCCCGGAGTTGGAAAACTCATTTGACTACCGCAATGCAAAATGAATTGAAGGCTGACACAATTATGTACAGCAATAAGCCTTTAAAATAATTACAAGCAGGTTGTTATAATAATAAACTTGTTTCTTCTTCTTACAGATGTCATCCTTTGTAAGCCCCATTTCAAAATTATAAATTGTAGCTATTTTAAGTAAAAAACATACATATTTTGTATATTTTTTTTTAGGTATAAGTTGAAGGCTACTTATTTAACGGCTTGTTTTCAATTTCATATTCATACAATTAATTTTATATTGTATAGGTGCTTAAGTATGGAACTATAAGACAATAAAATGGTAAAATATATTATAATAATTTGTTTACAAAAAGAATCTACAAATGCTTTAATCAGAACAAAACATAAATATAGGTATATCTTAAAAAAAATATACCAAATAATAAAAATGGAATGTTAAGAAGCCTTTCCATTTTAAAGTAATGCCACATGGACTAAAATATTTTTACCATATAAATGTATTTTTTTTAACAATTAGAATCCATTCCCTGCTCTCTCTAATTTTCCCCTTTCTCGCTCTCAATTTGCTAGCCGGCAACACGTGCTTTTTGGCCACTGCAAAACACCGGCATCGTCACGGCGCTCATTTTCATTTGTGCGATTTTCATTTTCATTCATTGCGCCCACACCAGCGCACAGCTGGCTGGCTTTCCCCTCTCCCTGTCCCACCTCATTTTCCATTTCCCATTTTCCACCCACTCTCACCACGCTCCGCAGCTAATGACGATGCCAGCAACAGCTGATGACGCCGCCGTTGTTCATTTTCCTTTTTAATTTTCCGCGACTCGCTTTGCGCACTCTTCTTGGCTTTATTTTTATCGCCAGATTCGCGGCCGGCGGAAAAACAGCTGTTCATTAGAAGGAAAAGCGAGGGAAATTAGCGCTCAAAAGAGTTGTCTTCACCAAGATGTTTCCGCATAATTGTGAGCGGGAGAGGAAAAGCTTAGGGGACCATCGATTGTTTCTCAAGAGGGATATAAAAGAAGGGGTCGATGGGAAAACTCCACTAAGAAAAAAATAACTTTGGAATAAAATCGAATATATTTTAATGAAAATTAAATTACTTCTGAGATACAATTTTAAAAACTGATTAAAAAAATATATAAGACGAAAAAATTAATAAAAATATTTTTTGTTGCTATCAAGATCATACCTTTCTAATCATTTCTAGTATTTTTTTAATCCCTATTTTCTTGTAGGTTAAATCCCGAAAAGGTGGGCGAGTGAAACCGAAGCCTGTGGACTAAGCCCGTTCAACAATCGCTCCATAAAAATGTATAAGTACGCATAAAAGAATTTTCTTTTTCTTACACTTTTCCTCCAGGTTTTCCCCTTTTCCCGCTTTATGGCTTTGTTGCTAGCTCGTCGAGAAGGACTTCTTACATATATTTTTATGAGATAAAATAGAAAATTTTGTTATCAGGCAGCAGCGGCAGAAAAGGATATAAAGCAGCGGCACTCACACACACACAGAAAAACACACATTCTAACACACTCACACACACACACATGGACACAAAGGCCCCACTTGAAATGGCAGAAAACCCCCTCCCCCTCACCCATCCACCATCAAACCATCACCATCAACCGCACTGAGTTGCCAGTGCCAACGGAAAATGTCTTCGGGTTGAGTGCTTTTCCGGGGAAAATGTAATTTTCTCATGGCAGCCAACATTCGCCGCTCGTCCTCGACGCTCGCTTTTCCTCAGCCCGCTTTTCCTTCCCGCTTTTCCAGAGCAGAGCGTCGAACGTGGCACGATTGAAGTGTCGGTTGGGTACCTAGGCGAGAAAGGAAACTTAAAGGATGCTCACAGCCAGCGCTTTTCCCTCCAAGAGCAGTCCCCCATCTTGACAGTTTCCTTTTCCTGTTGCCCTTTTTCGCCAGCGCCTTGCAAATTGCTCACGCTTGCCAAGTGTGTGCGGGCATTGGTGTGTGTGTGCACTGCGAGTAAATTTGTAACCCAACTGAATAAAAAACCGTTTAAGCTAAAAACCAAATCATCATGTATGTTTTATTTAACTAGACGATCTTACCACAAACTATAACATTGGGAAGCCAAAACTGCAATTCTAGATTCTATAACTTATGATATTGAAAACCGATTTAGACGTGGGGTACCTCCATGAGTTTGTAATTGAATTCTCAGATAATCTGCACTCAAATTTTTCTATTTAAAGAGGATCAAAACTTTAGCCCATTTTCATGTTATATTTTTCCGTAATTCCAATAGCTGTCAGAATGGGGACCCAAAACTGCACTTCCAGATTCCATAACTTTAGTTTTTTGAGTTCGCTTTTGACGTGTGATACCTCTATGAGCTTGTAATTGAATTCAAAAATAATCTGCATTCAAATTGTTCTTTTAAGAGATGGTCAAAATTTGAGCCCATTTTCATGTCGAATTTTTCTGTATTTCCAATAACTTCCAGAATGGGACCCCAAAACTCAACTTCTAGATTCCATAACTTTAGTCAATGTAAACCGATTTAAGCGTGGGATACCTCTTTGAGTTTGTAATTGAATTCTTAAATGATCTGCATTCAAATTGTTCTCTTGAAAGAGGGTCAAAATTTTAGCCCATTTTCATGTCGGATTTTTCTGTATTTCCAATGACTTTCAGAATGGGACCCCAAAACTGAACTTCTAGATTCCATAACTTGAGTCATTGTAAACCGATTTAAACGTGGGATACCTCTATGAGTTTGTAATTGAAATCTTAAATAATCTGCATTCAAATTGTTCTTTTAAGAGATGGTCAAAATTTTAGCCCATTTTCATGTCGGATTTTTCTGTATTTCCAATGACTTCCAGAATGAGACCCCAAAACTGGATTTCCAGATTCCATAACTTAAGTTCTTGGAGTCCGATTTTGACGTGTGATACCTCTATGAGTTTGTGGTTAAATTCTCTAATATACTACATTAAAAGTTTTCTTTTTGACGAGGGTCAAAATTGGAACCCATTTTCATGTTCCATTTTTTCGTAATTCCAATGACTTTCCGAATGGGGTCCCAAAACTGCACTTCCAGATTCCATAACTTAAGTTCTTGAAGTCCGATTTTGACGTGTGATACCTCTATGAGTTTGTGGTTAAATTCTCTAATATACTACATTGAAAGTTTTCTTTTTGACGAGGGTCAAAATTTGAAACAATTTTCATGTTCGATTTTTCCGTAATTCCAGTGGATGTCAGAATGGGGACCCAAAACTGCACTTCCAGATTCCATAACTTAAGTTCTTGGAGTCCGATTTTGACGTGTGATACCTCCATGATTGTGGTTAAATTCTTTTATATACTACATTAAAAGTTTTCTTTTTGATGAAGGTCAAAATTTTAACCCATTTTCATGTTCCATTTTTTCGTAATTCCAATGACTTTCCGAATGGGGTCCCAAAACTGCACTTCCAGATTCCATAACTTTAGTTATTGGAGTCCGATTTTGACGTGTGATACCTCTATGAGCTTGTAATTGAATTCAAAAATAATCTGCATTTAAATTGTTCTTTTAAGAGATGGTCAAAATTTGAGCCCATTTTCATGTCGAATTTTTCTGTATTTCCAATAACTTCCGGAATGGGACCCCAAAACTCAACTTCTAGATTCCATAACTTTAGTCAATGTAAACCGATTTAAGGGTGGGATACCTCTTTGAGTTTGTAATTGAATTCTTAAATGATCTGCATTCAAATTGTTCTCTTGAAAGAGGGTCAAAATTTTAGCCCATTTTCATGTCGGATTTTTCTGTATTTCCAATGACTTCCAGAATGGGACCCCAAAACTGAACTTCTAGATTCTATAACTTGAGTCATTGTAAACCGATTTAAACGTGGGATACCTCTATGAGTTTGTAATTGAATTCTTAAATAATCTGCATTCAAAGTGTTCTCTTAAGAGAGGGTCAAAATTTTAGCCCATTTTCATGTCGGATTTTTCTGTATTTCCAATGACTTCCAGAGTGGGACCCCAAAACTGAACTTCTAGATTCCATAACTTGAGTCATTGTAAACCGATTTAAACGTGGGATACCTCTATAAGTTTGTAATTCAATTCCTAAATAATCTGCATTCAAATTGTTCTCTTAAAAGAGGGTCAAAATTTTAGCCCATTTTCATGTCGGATTTTTCTGTATTTCCAATGACTTCCAGAATGGGACCCCAAAACTGAACTTCTAGATTCCATATCTTGAGTTATTGTAAGCCGATTTAAGCGTGGGATACCTCTATGAGTTTGTAATTGAATTCTTAAATAATCTGCATTCAAATTGTTCTCTTAAAAGAGGGTCAAAATTTTAGCCCATTTTCATGTACGATTTTTCTGTATTTCCAATGATTTCCAGAGTGGGACCCCAAAACTGAACTTCTAGATTCCATGACTTGAGTCATTGTAAACCGATTTAAACGTGGGATACCTCTATGAGTTTGTGTTTTAATTCTCTTATATTCTACGTTAATAGTTTTCTTCTTGACGAGGGTCAAAATTTTAACCCATTTTCATGTTCGATTTTTTCGTAATTCCAATGGCTCCCGTATGGGGACCCAAAACTGCACTTCCAGATTCCATAATTTTAGTTATTGGAGTCCGATTTTGACGTGTGATACCTCTATAAGTTTATAATTGAATTTTTTAATATTAAAATACATAAACATTTTCCTTTTAAAGGAGGGCCGAAAATATTCTTTTTTTAAGATGGGAAAATATTAAATTTTTTTTTAATCCAATTTGTTTTCTAATACTCAAATCTTCTTCCAGTGTTTTTGGCATTGTCCTGACTGCTGCTGACGTTGCTGTTACTGTCTTTGTCATTATCCTTTTGGGGTATTGCGACGTGTCAAAGCAACAACGCCGTGTCCTGCCCATCCCAAGCTCCATTTGCCACCGCCCCCCTTTCCACTGGAAAATCCCCCTCTTTTGGCTCAGTGTGTGCAGTAGCATCCATCAATTTGATGGATAAATATATGCAAATTGTGTATTAGCTGTCGCTGTTGTTGCTGCCGCTGCTGTTGTTATCCTTTAGCAAACAGGCGTACTCTCCATGCGAGCAAGTGAGATGGCAGATGGGCTAGAGGGAGAGGGAGAATAGACGCCAAGGAGCACCCACAACCCACAGCAACATCAATAGTCGCCCACAAGGATGGCATGGAAATGAATTTGGCACACGTGTAGTTGAGCACTTCTCCTCTAGCTTGTCCTCGGTATCTCTCCGTGTGCATTTGGTTTGTCCTGAGAATTTCCCCCACCGATTTCCCCGCTTTCCAACAAGCACCGACTGTTCAATAAATCATCCTAACTGCCTGTCGAAATGGAATTTCTCAAGAGCAACTTGAGGAGGTGAATACTATATATATACACGAGTTGTCAACCTTCCCAGCGAACTGCGCTAATTGAATTACCTAAGAAATTCACACGATCTGCAGCCCTTTCACTTTCTACAACTTTCATTTGTTATTCCTTTTTTTCCGTTTGAAGGCATGGTAAGGTCGCATGCAAATTCCTTGAGAGAGAGGGTTGCAAAAGGAAACTTGATTTATATGCAAAATCATCAAAGGACAATGGATCTGGAGGATCGACCAAACATGAAAAAAAAACGATCAAATGTCGGCTCGATTGTTGCCTCATTTGCATGCGAATGCCGCTGCATGAGGGAAAACCTGAGGGAAAAACCTGAGGCAGATGCGAGTGCGACATGTCAAACTGTGAAAATTAATATTTTCGCTTGTTCTGGTTGCTCGCGCAGTTTCGCAATTTCGCAATTTGATGACGCTGCGCAAAAATTATGCAAATTTATTCTCGCACCGCACACACAAAAGAAGTTGTAACAGTTTTCCATGGCTCGCAAGGTGTGAAAGGGTTTTCCTTTTGTTTAATTAGCACACAAAGGCCAAGGTTCAGGACCTTTAAGTTCGGAGGGTGAACGGATGGGGTGCGAAATCATAGGCTGTGACTTAAAGCTGTTCGCTATGGCACGCGGCTTGTAGTAAAGTCTTTTATTCTGAATTGGAAGTGTTCGAATTTATGATAATATTTAAATAATTTATCTATTACTTAATTTTTATTTTAATTTTCAACCAAAATATATATTTTTCTAATATGCAATGAATAGTTTCTCATTAGCTTTTTAATATTAGATGGATAATCATTATTAAGATGGATAATCAAAAAGCTTACATACAACGTTTATGCACTTCACAAAAGTCATGAATATATTTATACATATATACAGAATTTGTTTTATTTTTTTTCCAAAATATTATTTTTAAATATGCAAAGTGATGGTTTGCAAAAACCACTCTCAAGACCTAAGTGCTACGGAACTTATCCAAAACTGATAATTCTATCCGAACTCTAAAATCAAAAGGTTTCAACATTACATTTTACAGGGGTCTGATCTGCGGGATTTTTAATTAAATTGCTTTTAATTTTTCTTAATACTTAAAGATTTTAAAATTAATTTTATTGTTGCAAAAAATTTCAACATTTTTAAAAATTGTTTAATAATTGCTTTAAAGATGTCCTAAAAGCGCCAGGGCTTTCTATTATCTTATTTAACTTAAATGATGCAACTTGAAAAACTATTTATATTCCATTGTGACAAAAACAAAAACAAATCATATTTCTGCAAATATTTTAAGCAATAGATTTCAACGCCAAGCAGCCTGTCCTAATGCTAATAAATCATCCCTTAGAAAATTGCCAGAGGAAGAACTGGCGCCCTCTAATGTACAACCTAGGAAACTGGAGATGAATCAAGCAGTTCACAGGATGCTGCGTTCGCAAGCAGTGCGGCCAAAGGACCTAAATGATTTAACAACAAAAAGGGACTACAAAAATGCCAAATAAATATTTATGAATAAAGGCACCGAGCAATTATCATTTTGTATTTTTAGCGAGATAATGCGAAAATTAATTTCAATAAATTGCAACAAGGGAGCACTGCTGCCCTGATAAATTGTGCGAATATTTACCCGGCATAT